AAGTCATAAGCACCCCTCAGGACTTACCTGCCAACTTGAATGCAGAAGTCCCCTCGAATGGTGCCTGGCTTAGAATCTGCTGGATTGGTCTCCCCGAGCATCATCCTCCCTGTCTTCACCACATTCAGCCCCTCCCAGACCTTGACAGTAGGGAAAGGGAATTGCATCAGGTCTGCCACTCAGGACATTAGGAACAAATGTTTACCCCTACCTAACAGCACCCATCAATCAGACCAATCAGTGACATGAGTATCAGCTAACCCCAGTAGATAGCAGGTGGCTATGTAAATACTCCATACTCCATCCCAGATGTATTGCTAGTATAAAAAGTCTACCCAACTTGGCAACTTTCCAGTGAGGTGAAGATAAACAATACTGAAGAATCCTGCCCTGGGTGGTGTGGTTCAGTGGACTGAGTGCCGGTCTGTAAGCCAAAAGGTCACCAGCTCAATACCCCAGTCAGGGCACATGCCTGGGTTGCAGGCCAGGTCCCCAGTTGGGGGCAGGCGAGAGGCAACCTATTGATGTGTATCTGACATGTTTTTCTCCCTCTTTCTCACTCCCTTCCCCTCTCTCTGAAAGTAAATAAATAAATAATCTAAAAAAAGGAATATGACACAGTCATTGACCAAGGCCAGTTACTTTCAGCCCTCGGTTTCCTGGGCTTCCCTTCCTCACCAGTGTCACTTACCATGGCCACCACAGGCCCTGAGTTCATGTACTTCACCAGCCCGGGGTAGAACGGGCGGTCTTTCAAGTCAATGTAGTGCTCCTTCAGCAGTTCATTGGAGGCCTGGCAATGAAGAGGAGGTACTGATTAGCAACTACCCTGGAGAGGCTCAAATATGTCCCCATCAGCTAGCTTCTCAAGACTCCCACTAACATGGCAGCATCTTTTTTTTTTTTTTAAAGATTTTATTTATTTTTAGGGAGGGAAGGGAGGGAGATAGTGAGAGAGAGAGAGAAACATCAATGTGTGGTTGCTGGGGGTTATGGCCCGCAACCCAGGAATGTACCCTGGCTGGGAATCGAACCTGGGACACTTTGGTTCCCAGCCCGCGCTCAATCCACTGAGCTACGCCAGCCAGGGCTACATGGCAGCATCTCTTAAAGTCTAATTCAGTATTTTGGCCCACATTCATAAGGTGTTAAAAAAAAAACCCATCCAGCCCTTCAGTGTGGCTCAGTTGGTTGTAGCCTTGGCCCACACACCAAAAGGTTGAGGGTATGATTCCCCGACAGAGCACGTAACTACGTTGTGGGTTCAGTCTGGGTCTGGCGCGTCTAGGAGGCAACCGATGGAGGTTTCACCCTCATACCACTGTTTCTCTCTCTCCCTCCTCTCTCTAAAATCAATAAGCATATTTTTTAATCCCACAAACAATGAAACTGGCCCTATTTTACCAAAAGACTTCTGCTCATGACGACAGCTTCATAGTATCAATGACGTTATGGCTGTTATCCTTAAAGTAGATGGTTTGAGGATCCAGACTTAGGGAGGTAAGTGTTGGGTGCAGCTGAGGGAAATGTGCCAGGTGGAGGTCCTGTAGGCTCCTCTGGACCATCACAACGCCCGCTTACACATTTTAGATGTTAAGTGAGAACATTCTCTTCACTGATGGGCTTGGTTAAAATTTCAGTACTTAAGGTACGGATCTGTGTGCCCCAAACTTAATGTGGAAAAGACAATTACGACAAAGCCTGCAGAGAAAGGGCAGAGGAAGGCACTTCCCACCTAAAACTTCATCTCAGTGTTGCAAGCTAAAACACAAAAGGATTCCAAGGTCCCCTTCCGGGCACAGGTACACCCACATGGGCCATGGGAAGGGGCCTGGGGCGCTGGCTTTCTTCACTCTCTGCTGCCCCCCGGTGACGGATGGGCAGGCCTCAGTCCCACGCAGCCGCAAGTAGGAAGCCTGTCCAAAGCAGGAGTCACGTTACCTACGCTTAACCTTTCCAAGGGCGTCTGTGCTCCCGGGCCTCCGGAAAGGGTCTTAGGGCAGAGGGCCAGGGGAGGGGGCAAAGGGATTCCTGCGGGGGTGAAAGCAGCCATGCGGACTCCGATCCTGCGAGACGCGGACAAGACGCTGCCGGTATGCAAATACCTCTGCAACGGAGCTACTGGGGGCGGGAGGGTGGGGGACCGCGTACCCTTAGGAACTTCATGGCCACGAGGCGGAACCCCTTCTGCTCGAAGCGCTTGATGATTTCGCCCACCAGGCCGCGCTGCACGCCGTCTGGCTTGATGGCGATGAAGGTGCGCTCCGTGTTGGCCATGGTCCTGCGGATGAACGGTCCGGTAAGGGTCCTGGGCGGCCGGCACAGGCCGCGCCGGGCCTCTGCGCCCCGCTCCGGACCCAGGAGCCCACGTGGGCGTTCTCGCCACCCCGACTGCCTGTGCGGGAGCTCCCGTCCCCCCCTCCCCTCCCCCCTGCCGCCACTGCGCAACACGTGGCTGCCCGGGCGCCTCTGCTCTACCCCGGCCCGCTGCCCCTCTGCAATCCCCTGAGGCCCGTGGAGGGCCCCACCAGGGTCCCGGGGGCGCAGAGCCTGAGTCCCCCTGGGACCCGGCCCAGAGGCCTGCGGGGACAAGGGGCGCCTGAAGACCGGGATCCGCCCTACATGACACCAGCTGGTGAGGAGACGGGGAACAAGGAGGGAGAAGCGTCCCCATTACCTTACCGAGAAACGGGCGGGCGGCAGCTGCGCTGTGCTGCTGAGCCGGAGCGGAGACCGGTACGGACCACCGGAGCTGAGAGTCGCCCCGCGAAGGAGGGGCGCTTGGCGGCCACACCCCTGAGGGCCCCGCCACCCAACCCGGCGACCGGACGCTGCGGGAGGCCTCTGTCCACGCCCCGGGTTTGCGAGTCTGGGTTTTGGGACAGGAAGTGATTTCTTCTCCACGTAGAAGTCCCACAAGTAAAAACTAGGCAGGTCTAAATCCAATTCCTCTCTTCCTCCCCCACCCCCCTCCCTCACAAACACACACACACACACACACACACACAGGAAAACCTGCTCCTGGTCTTGAGTTCTTACCCAGGTCAACACCATCTGCTTTCACCATCCACCCGAACACCCAGAATTGAGATTTCTTTCCTCCCTCTCATGCCCCCACCAGTCCCTACCCTTCCTCCCCGTGAATCCCGGTCTTCCCCTTCGCTCTGCCAGGTTCCAGCCCTCGGCCTCCCTCACCGCCCTCCTCCAGCACCCGTCTGACTCGCCGTCCTGTTTAATGCCCCCCATCTGGAAGATGGTATTCCAACCCTTTAGCAAGATACCCCGTACTTAACCACGGTATGCCCTGCTCGCTCCTGCCTGTCTCCCTCCATCCCACCCCCACGTTTCCAGCCCCAAGTAGCTGCTCTGTTCCCACCCAGCGTTAACTGTGATCAGGTCACCCACTTCAGCCTGAGACACACCCTTGTCAAGATTCTAGACTGTCGTAGAAACCAGGCCTACCATTGATTTGCACGCAATCCCCACCCCTTGGTGGTTGGTGCCAACCTCTGCCTTTCACCGCTTCTTTCTTACTGGAACCAAGTCCCCTAGCTCATCACCAGCCCTACTTACCCACTTGAATTTTTTGTCCAGCTTTACTGAGGCATATTTGACAAATAAAAGTTTTATGTATTTAAGATAGAGATGAGTACAATTTGATGTTCTGATACACATACAGGGGTGGGCGAAAGTAGGTTTACAGCTGTTCCTATGGAAAAAGACCCAGGTTATGATAAGAGGCTGCTTTGCATGCTCACAACTGCAAACCCACTTTTGCAAACCCCTGTGTTACATGATAACCCCTGTGTTTATGATCAACATAAATATCACTTAACATAGTTATCAGTTTCTTTATTTCGGGCGGTGTAGTAAGAACATGTAAGATCTACCCTCTTAGCAAATTTCCTTGTGCATGTTTTTTGTGTTTTTATTGGTTTTAATTTTTGTTTTAGCAAATTTCAAGTAAACACTACATTATACGGTACTGTTAACTATAGTCACAGCACTGTGCGTTAGATCTCCAGCTTGGACATTTAAATAAAAGTAACTTTCCATTTGCCTCTGTTAAAGCATCCAAATCAATGTCCTAACAAATCAAAGCATTTACCAGATTTATTCCACTTCTTTTGAGTCCATCCCAGGGACCCAGGCCCACGATGCACGTAGCTGTTCCGTTTTGGTGTAATTACACCCCCCACTCCCCCATTCACTGAGGCCCTGGGCACTTCTCGAGAGCAGGAAGGATACCTTTTATTTCCAATGACTCCTCTGTACCCAGGACAGCCTTGGCAACTGTGGGGATTCAGACTGAGTTGCCCCAAGATGTGCTTCTGTGGTATGTGTTGTTATAAGCTAAAGGCAATTTTAGCTGAGGCCTCAAGAGAAATTTTTGCCTCTCTCTTAACTACTGGGAACTGAATTAAGGCCCTTGCCCATAATAAGAGATTATCAGCGATAACCTCGTTTGACCTACCTATATAGCAGGGTGAACTACTAATTCCTGAACACGTGTTCTCCCTGCAGTGACCTTCTTAAGTCCCCAGGTGCCTTCTCTTATCGCTAGCTCAGAAGGTCATATAGATCCATTTTTCTTTCTGCCCTTGAACCTCTTGTAAACGGGGGGTCTCTGACCCTGTCGTGCATGCAGTGTTTGAACACACATGAACTTATACTTGGTTGTCTTCTCTTGTTAAACTGTCTCATGTCTATTTGATTATGAGAGCAGCCAGAAAGAACCTTGAGGACGGAGGAAAGTTTCTTCCTCCCCCACACAACCTAACAGAACCTTGGTAGATGCCCATTGACGGGCGCAGTGACAGAACACATGGGATGCAGGGGGAACAGGGACGGGCAGCGATTGTGAGTGTAGATGTGTGATCTCTCAGGCCACTGTAAATAGTTCATTTAGTGTTTATATTCCCTATTCGCTCAGGTTAGCCAGAGAGAGTAGATGGGAAGAAAAAAGAATACAAAGCAATACAGCAACACATAATAGGGAATTCGATGAATCCCAGTTGGGGTGAAACATTTTAATCGAATGGTAGCTTATAACACTGCACAGGGAACACTCACAGCTCCAAGAGCATCCCTCCAGATAATCAGGAAGTTCTCAGAAATAAGTAGGTCGGCTAGGGTCTGGTCCCCTGCCGTGGGAGGGAGAGGGAACGGAGTGAGAGAAGCACTGTCAGCCGCTTCCACGTCACTCGTAGATCCAGTTCTGAGCGCAGCTCTTGTAATCTACCAGCTCCTCGGGCCGAAACCACAAGGCAATCTCCTTCTCCGCGCTCTCCACAGAGTCACTGCCGTGGATAATGTTCCTGGGTGGGGAACGAGGGCACGTTACTGAGACCACAAGGGCTGGACTGCCCTGAGGACCCCTCACTCCCATTGCCAGAAAGCCCACAGCCTACCACAGCAGAAAAAAACCCCATGCCCTCAGTTCACATTAAAAGGAAAAAAACCGCCCTGGCTGGGGTGGATTGCACGCTGGCCTGCAGACCAAGTCACCGGTCTGGTTCCCTGTCGGGGCACATGTCTGGCTTCCAGGCCAGGTCCCCAGCTGGGGGCATGTGACAGGCAACTGATCAGTGGATCTCTCACACATTGATGTTTCTCTTTCTTTCTCCTTCCCTCCCCCTCTAAAAACACATAAATATTAAAAAAAAAAAAAGATAGCAAATTTGTGTTTAGAAAAGGAAAATAAAAGGAGAAAACCCACGACTACCTCTAACGTAGGATGAAGAATGCCCTCCCGCACCCTGCCTTCCTAGCACCACCGAGGCAAGCAGAAGGGGCTTCAGGAAGGACTCTGGCCAGCAAGGTGTGTTACCCCAGGCTCTATCCTCCCCAAAGAGGCACAACTACAGCGATGTTGGCGACCAAAGGCAGACAGCCTACAAAGCCAAACACCAACTTAAGGGAGAGAAAAACAATGAACTGACTTAAAATTTGATCTGCATAAGGTATCATGGCCATCCCCAGCTGTAGGAACCCAAATTCTTATGGCATCTCAGATTTTGGAAAAGGGTAAAAGTACTAATTCCCACCTGCCAACTTGGATACAAAAGTCCCCTCGGATGGTCCCAGGTTTGGAATCCACTGGGTTGGTCTCTCCAAGCATCACCCGGCCTGTCTTCACAACATTCAGCCCCTCCCAGACCTCCAAGGACAAAAGAAGGGATGTATGGTCAAGAAAGAAAACCAATCTCAGCAGAAAACCTGAAGACTACTAATTCAAAAAAGAAAAGTAAAAAGACCCTTACGACAACATTCATTCATTGAACAAATCCATTATCTGCCCATCTTCCCTTTCGAGATGTGTAGGCGAGGAAAGTTGTGAAAACAAGTCCCTACCTTGTTTCATTCATGACTGCATCCCCAGTGTCTAGAAAAGAGTGTGGCAAAATGATGACAACCAATACATATTTGAGAATTACTATGTTGAGTCCTGCCCTCCGGAGGCTTATAATCAGGCAGACCCATCCTGATCGCTCCCAGCTATGAGTCTTCAATTCAGCAAGCAAATGTGATGTACTGTTTAGTAGACCAGAGAGCTGACTCATATCTTAACTGTCCACCCCTCCCAGCCCCAGCTGCCCCTGCATCAGTGAGAACCTGGCAACAGAAGCATGAATCACAACACTCACTCTTCACCCTCAACTGAGTCATTCATATCAACACCCCACACATGCACACTCACCATGGCAACCACTGGCCCTGAGTGCATGTATTTCACCAGGCCAGTAAAGAATGGGCGGTCCTTCAGGTCGATGTAGTGTTCCTTGAGAAGGTCTTCAGAAGCCTATTGCACAAGACAGAGAATGAGAATTGGCCCCCAAAACCAGGAACCAGTGGTTATTTCCCCCTCACCCGTCCTGCTGTTTAAAATGTGAGCTCCCAACTTACTAATTCCATTATAACCCAATTCATTCTCAAGACTACCATGACTGCCCCCGCTGGTGTGGCTCAATGGGTTGAGCACCAGCCTGTGAGCCAAAAGGTTGGCAGTTCAATTCCCAGTCAGGGCACATGCCTGGGTTGAGGGCCAGGGTCCCCAGTTGGGGGTGTGCAATAGTCAACCAGTTGATGCATCTCTCCCACAGTGATGTTTCTCTTGCTCTCTTTCTCCCTCCTCTCCCCTCCCTCTAAAAGTAAATAAATAAAATCTTTAAAAAAGAGAAAGAAAAAACTACTAGGACTAAAACTGCTTCAGCTTTGTACCAATATTGCCCCATTGACCCTGACTGATCAGATAAAGACACAGAATATTAGATTCATATTCAGTCATCTTGCTTTAGACAGGAACTCTAACAATGCAATGCATTTCCATTCCCAGAGGAAGTCTCAGCTAAAATGTTAGAGGGGAGTGAGGAAGGTGGTTTTAACATTTGATGAGAAGCAAACTGAGCCAGGGACGCTTCACGCTGACTCAGGGGATGAAGGGCTGGGGTCGTGATCACGCAATTCTCACAGCCATTTGCAAACCACCCAAAAGTTCACATCTAGCAATAAATAATTCTGAAGAATGAGTTAGACTCTCACATTACAAGGCTGATATGTGAGAAAAAGTCAATTTAGCTGAAGTAAAAACCATCTGCTGAGCAATTCCAACTCGACTCAACCGTGTTCTCTCTCTGCCACTGCAGATGGACTTGTGAAGGGGCTAACGAGTTCCCCTAGTTTTTTTCAGTTTCACGGTACTGCACTGTGTGAAGTAACGTACACACACGTGGAGATCTGCTGTGCAAAAGCACGTCCAGGACATCCTCAGGTCCTGCCCCCATTGACAAGGTCACTGCCAAAGTAAACCCACACAGCCATGTGTTCATTCCACGTTAGCAGGTCATCCTCACCGTCCCTTTCCATCCGAATCGAGGATTAAAGGTCGTCTCCTCACACACACTGCCTTGACCTTCCCTTACCAGAACACTCTCTTACTTCTAGTAATTGGCTTTTCTTTCCTCTAGTCTGCAAAACAGAGCAGGCTTCTGGGGGACAGGGGAGGACCTCAAGTTTTCCCTCAACTCCCTCCTCCACATCAGGTTCAAATAACCCTGCAGCTACCCCTCCTCCCACTCTTCACCAAGCCTGGGGCTCAGACACCCGAGTTAAAACCCCAGCTGCATCACTGACTGTGTGCTTTCAGGCATGTGACTTAACCTCCAAGTCTCAGCTTCCTGTCACTAAGAACCACAGGAACAGGAATAAGCACCTCTCAGGGTTACCATGAGGGCTAGATGAGAAAACACACGTGCCCAGCACATGGTAAGTATCTGATCAACTACACTTGATTTCATTTTGCCTTCAAACCTAACACAAAATGCAAACCTTCTGAAAAGCACTGCTTGTCCAGCACCCGGCTCTAATCATTCCATCATGCTCTCCCCTCAACATTAACGTCAGTTTACTCCCTTGAAAATGACACCAGTTTTTCTAGACATCACATAGGAAATCAGCTGTAAATCAAACTAAATTTAAGATGCACTAGAAGAGTCCAAAGTTGACTCTTTCAATAGAAAAAAAGACTATCCCCCAAAGTATTTTCTTTGAGAATGTGAATTTTCCTTTCCCAGATTCGTTTGAAGAAGGGTTCTTGGCCAATCAACTTGTGCATTTTTTGAAATATTGCTTTGCAGGTGTTTTGCAAAAGTGTCTGCTCCCTGCTGTTTCCGATGGGCCTCCTAAGGGGCAAAACCAAACTTTTCCCCTACACACCTCGATGGTGCCTCATATATGCTAGACAGTAAGTGGGTGGTAAATGATGATGGAAAGATTTCCTTCAGAGGAGGAAAAAATGTCTAAAATTATCTGCTCATGAAGCTCAAGGGCAAAGCTCAACCATGAGCAGAGCTTTGAGTCAGAAATCACAGTCCTGTCCTGACTGGTGTGGCTCAGTGGAATGAGCACCAACCTGTGAACCAAAGGGTCGCCAGTTCAATCCCCAATTAAGGCATATGCCTGGGTTGCAGGCCAGGTCCCCAGTAGGGGGTATGTGAGAGGCAACCACAGACTGATGTTTCTCCTCTCTTTCTCCCTCCCTTCCCCTCTCTCTCAAAATAAATACACAAATAAATCTTTAAAAAAAAAAAGAAGGAGGAGGAAAGAAATCACAGTCCTGCAGGAAATATGCAACTCTGCATTGCTAAGGGAAAGGGGAGGCTATTTCTAAAGTCCCAAAGATCTTGGTTTGTTTCAAGACTCAGCTATGATCTAGGTCACTGAAGAGTTAACCTACAACAATCCCTTGTCCTACAAAAGAATAGGAATAGGAAGAGTAAAGTCCACTTACCTGTATGAATTTCATTGCAACAAGGCGGAACCCCTTCTGCTCAAAACGCTTGATGATCTCCCCCACAAGCTGGCGCTGGACCCCATCAGGCTTGATGGCAATGAAGGTGCGCTCACTGTTGGCCATGGTCCTGGGGAAAGACAGGTGGGACGGCACTGATCAGCGAAACAGCAGTAAATATCCTGCCTACATCATTATCCTTCCCAAGCGGATTACCCCATAAATCTGATTTAATTTTTCATGTCAACTCCAAGTCTCTAGTAAAAACCCAATTCCTCCTCAGTCCTCTCATGGATAAACTAATACTCCAGAATGGAGAAGAGTGCAAAGGCAGAAGCTATAATTTCTATCTTATTTTATTTATTTTTAAGATTTTATTTCTTTTTTAAGAGAGGGGAAGGGAGGGAGAAAGAGAGGGAAAACACCAATGTGCAAGGGAAACATTGATCAGTTGCCCCTCACACACCCCCATACAGGGACCTGGCCAGTAACCCAGGCATGTGGCCTGACCAGGAATCAAACCAGAGACCTTTTGGTTCACAGGTCGGTGCACAACCCACTGAACCACTCCAGCCAGAGCATATTCTATTTAATACACTTATATTAAATATCTACTGTGTACCCAACACTGTGGCAGAACTAAAACAGGGGATGTAAATACACACACACACACACACACATATACACACACATATATATACATATATATCTTACTCACCCCAAAGAGAAAAACTACACTGATGTGAAAGGGACCTCTGATCCCAGGCAGTGTGAAACATGGTTTCACCTACTACATACACATCATGGTATTAGAACTGGAAAGAGTTTCAGAGATTATTTCATTACAATCTCCGTCATTTCACAAATGAGGAAACAGATCTATGGCACGAGAATGCAGGCCAAAACCCAGATTTCCCAACCCTATGCATATTATGCTACGTGATAAGATGTAATGAATGCTCTGACTAACCAATAAACGCTGGCTCGTGGGGGAACTGCAGCCATTAGTAATATCTGATACAGGACACCACGCTGGAAGGAAGCCTAGAAAGCATCTATTCCAGATCATTCCTTTTACAGAGAAAGCCGTGCTCAAGACCTGCTCTGCCTCCACAGGACAAGAAAGGAGGCCTCTCACCTCGAAAAGCAATTTCTCAAGTGGATAGCAGCAGCATCTCCTGGCTCTATCTCCCCATACTTTAGTTAACCTATTTTAGCACCTTAACAAGGCATTTGAATTTTATGTTTGTGTGTCTGTCTTCCCCAGTGATCTGTTGTCTGTCCCTTGGCAGACACCTAGCTACAGGGGCTAGCACTAAACAAATGCAAAAAAAAAAAAGTTCTAAGTGATAATCGCCCTGTCCTTCCAAGAAAGAGACAAAGTCCAAAGACCGGAGAAGAGCCCCCGATGGAGGTTCGAGACAAGCATGGATTTGCCAAGAGAAAATGTGGCTTAAAAGCCAGAAATAGACGCTATAAATGTCCCTCCACGCCCACCCTGACATACACTTGTCATTCGTTCTGCAATGATATACTGAGCGCCAACTCCGTGCTCAGGACTGCACTCGACAAAAACAAGTACGGCACAACCCCTGCAGTCGCGGCGTTAAGGGAAAGGCAGCCACGAGCCTCGGACAAAGGCGAGTCCACGTGGACGTGTGCTGACAGGTATGCACCTGCTGACAGACGCTCTCCCACCCTTCCCTCCCATTCAAACCCTCTCGCCACCTCTGAGAGCGGAACTCACACGACTCCTTCACCTCCCCGCGCCCCCGACCCCACTGCTGTCCCTTTCCTCTCAGGACCCTGAACCCTTCTCACCCCTCCAGCTGCTGGAACTTCCACTCCTCCTCCTGTCGCCGGCACCGGAAACCCGCCCCGGCCCCACGTGGTTCCCAGCACCCGCACGGGCGGAACCCTTCTGCTCAGATCGGTTACCCTAAAGCCCTTTTTGCAGAGCACCACTCGCTCACGCTTCCTCTTATGAGTCGGGCATCATTTTAGGGAGCACTTTTAGATTTTTAACTTCCGGTGCTGCTTTTCCGGCAGGCTGCAGCCTTTTTTTTTTTTTTTTTTTTAAGATTCTACGATTCACTTCCTCCCTCCTGGAGCAAATTGGCTTGCCGGGAGGTGGCGCTCGTACTTTGCCTGAAGTACGAACGCGCTCCTGACTCAGAGGTAAACGTGTCCTCTGGCTTTACATTTCCTCGTTCTTTCCAGTCTGTCAAACAATAAATTCTTTAATGAGTACCTACTATGTGCCTGCCACTGTTCTAGGACCTGGTGGTATAGCAGTAAACTCTCTTGGTACTTCTGGTGGGGTTGGGAATGCAGCAAACAATAAACAGATGTATATCGCATTATGTAAGTGCCGTTAAAAAGTCGGAGGGGGAGGGGAGGCAGGGAAGATCGAAGGAGTAAACTTTTTTTTTCAGATTATTTTTAGGGAGAGGGGAAGGGAGGGAGAAAACGAGGGAGGGAAATATCGATGTGCAAGGGAAACTCTGGATCCGCTGCCGGCCCCACCGCGCCCCCTGGGCACGCGCACTCCCCAACCGGAGACCTGGCCCGCAACCCGGGCTTGCGCCGGGACCGGGAATCCAGCTGGCAACCTTCCTGTCTGCGGGCGACGCCCAACCCCCTGAGCCACACCAGTCAGGGCTGGAGTAAACTATTTTAAAAGTCGGTTGAGGAAATCTCTCTCTGAGGAGACGACTCATGAAATGAGAGAGCAAGTCCGGTGATTATCTGAGAGCAGAGTATAATAGTGGGCGTCCAGTGGCCGAAAATGCAGTTGGAGAAGTGCCAGATTATGCTATGCTGAGAAGCCATGGGAGCATTTTGGTCAGGACATGACATCATCCGTACACATTTTTTTAAAATTCTGACTGCCATAGAAGGAATGGATAGGGGTGGGGCGGGTAAGGTGCAAAGTGGAATGAGGAGCGGTTTCAACAAATGGTGCTGAGCAACTGGACATCTATAGAGAAAAAAAACTCTACCTAAACCTCCTACCTTAAGCAAAAATTCACTCAAAATGGATCATATTTAGATGTCAAATGTAAAACTCTAAAGAGTTTAGAAAAAAACATGGTAAAAAATCTGAAGACCAAGGGCTAGGCAGACTTTTTAGACTTACCACCAAACGGACAACCCATAAGAGAAAAAAGTCCTTAAATTGGGTCTTATTGAAATTTAAAACTTTTGTTCTTCGAAAGGCTCTGAAAAGAGGATGAAAAACCAAGCTACAGGGTGGGAGAAAATATGAACAAACTACATGTCCAACATAGTCCTTGGATCTAAAATACATAAAGAATTCTCACAACTCAACAGTATAAAAAATCAAATTATAAAATGAGCAAATAGTAAGAATAAACATTTCACTGAAGAGGTTATACAGGTGGTGAATAGATAGGCACATTAAAAGATGTTTAACATCATCACTGGCCATTAAGGAAACGCAAATTAAAACCACAGTGAGAAATCATAATGGCTAAAAGTAAAAAATAGTGACAATACCAAATGCTGTCAAGGAGGTGGAGAAACTGGACCCACTCATACGTTGCTCATGGTAATGCAAAATGGGAGAGCCGCTCTGGAAAAGCTTGGCAGTTTCCTGTGAAACTAAACATGCATTTAACGTATGACTGAGCAATTCGCTCCCAGTTGTTTATCCCAGAGTATTAAGATATGATCTGTTCTCACCTTTAACAGGAACCTAAACAACAAAACAAAGAAACAAGCAAAATATAACCAAAGACACTGAAATAGGGGACAGACTGACAGTGACCAGAGGGGAGAGAAGAGGGAATTTCAGGGGAGAATGGGAAGGGTTTACAGGAACAAATTTAAAGGACACATGGACAAAAACTAGGGGGAGGGGTGTAATGGAAGGGAAATGGGGAAGGTTGGGTGGGTGGGCTGGAATGGGAATAAAAGGGAGAAAACTGTACTTGAACAATGATTAAAATAAAATTAAAAATAAATACATACATACATAAAAAAAGATATAATCTGTTCACACAAAAACCTATACATAAATATTTATAGCAACCTTATTTGTAATTACCAAAACTAAAAATAACCCAAATGTCCATCAAGTAAATGTTTAAACAAACTATGGTTCATCCATAGTTTGAAACACAATTTTAAGAAATTATTAATATACACAATTTGGATAGATCTCAAGGAAATTATGTTGAATGAAAAAAGCCAACTGACAAAATTATACACTATATTACTGCATTTATAAAATATTCTTGAAAAACCACATTATAGAGATAAAGAACAGATTGGTGGTTGCTAGGACTTAGGGGTGGAAAAGAGGGCAGGGGTGTGTTCCTAAAGGCTTAGGAGCACAAGGGAGTCTTGTGATAAAAGAATTGTTCTGTGTCTAGACTGTGATGGCAGTTACACAGCCTACACATGTGACAGAATTGCAGAGAACTGTACACACACAAGTGAGTGCATGTAAAACTGATTATACCTGAAGAAATTCTGTAGATTATACCAATGTCAATTTTCTGGTTTTACTATTATACTATAATCATGCAAGACGTTACCAGTAGATGGCGTGGGGTGAAGGGCATGTGGGACTTTCTTGTACATATTTTTTTAACTTCCCATGAATTTATAATTCTTTCAAAAAATTTTTTAAAGTTTAAACAATCAGAAAACTGGTTGAGACTACAGTAGTAGTTCAAGGAGGAGATGATGGTGGTTTGCAATAGGTGATGACAAAGGAGAGGGAGAAAAGAGGCTTGGGTATAGGATATGTATTTGAGGTTGAGCCTTGTGGGGAGGAACAAACTTTTCTCTACCCTCAAGATTCTTCTGACTGGTCTAATAATCAAACAGACATGAGACAGATTAGCTAGAGAAAATAAACCAGATATTATGCATATATACACATATATATATACACATATATATATACATATATAGTGTGTGTGTGTGTGTGTGTGAAACCTGCATACATGAGAGAGTCAGAGACCCCACATGCAAGAGAGGTTCAGAGACAGAAAGGGGGGACAGAGGTGCATAAGGCATCCTCAGTTAGGGATAAGTAATGCACCTTGGGAGTTTCAAAGGGTCATTGCAAAATGATAAGAACAAAGGCTTAATAGATTGAAGTTTGCCCTGCCTTAATAGATAAGTCAAAAAAGTTATCACTGATAATAGCTTATTATGGGCAAGTTTCCTAATTCACATTCCAGGTAGAGGGAGGGGCAGAAATTTCTCTTGAACCAGCAGTTCAAATTGCCTTTAACCCAAAGTAATCTGCATATCATTGAGTCACACCTCCTGCTGAATACCCATAGCCCCTATATATCAATTATAACTCAATTAAAACAACAACAACAACAAAACATTGAGTCTATAGGTCTTGATGGGTGGGATGAGAGAAGAAAAAACTAGATGCTGATTCCCAATATTTTCTCTTTTTTGGAGGGAGTACATTAAATATCAGTTCAGTAGGGTTATTTACAAAGCTTCCTTTTAGTGGTTGGGATCCACTGTACTAGCAGTTTTCATTATTATTCTTAGTATCATCCTCCTCCTCCTCCTCACTCAAGGACATTTTTTCATCGCTTTTAGAGAGAGAAAAACATCCATCAGTTGCCTCCCACATGCACCCGGACCACGGATGTAACCGGAAACCTAGGCATGTGCCCTGACAGAGAATCAAACCTGCAACATTTTGGTTACATCCAGCCAACCGAGCCACACCATCTGGTGTGGCACATTTGGAGCCACACCCCACACACCACAAGACTGCAGGTTAGATTCCTGGTCAGGGCATGTACCAAGGTTGCAGATTCAATCCCTGGCTGGGGTGCATACGGAGGCAACGATCAATGTTTCTCATATCAACGTTTCTCTCTCCCCCTTCCACTCTCTCTCTAAAAATCAGTAAACATATCCTTTGGCAAGGATTTTTTTAAGTTATTTAAAACCTCTATGTACAAACAAATCACATGGAGATTCGTTAAAATGCAGATTCTGATTCAGCAGGTCTGGAATGGAGCCTGGCAGTTTGATGACTTTGCTGTTGATTGAGAAACGAGAGATACAAGACCAGGTCCTAGAGCCAGATTCTTTTACATGGCTGATGTAAGCCTTAGGTGAGGAAGGGCTTGCCCAGGCAGATGCTGGAGAAGGGGAATGGGCGATAGAAAACAGGAAGGCCTCCTCTCTTCCTGGAAGCCATCCTGATTACATGACTCCACCCTAACCTTCCTTTCCCAACCCCACGCACAGCCCTCTAGGCTTTCACAGGTAAATGTTTCTGCAAACTAAACAAAAAAAATTAATAATTTAGAACATTAGAAAACAAAAGAAATTAGAACTAAAAGTAATCTCAATGGGCATACGGACTAATCTCCTCTCCAGAAATCCTAGAAAGGGGTTTCCACTTCTGCTTGAAATCTCTAAGAATGGGCATTCATTCCCTCAAACATCAGATCACTGACCTTGCCCCCATCCCTTGCTAAAACAAACTGCTAATCAAATGTATGCATCCCCCAAAATAATAATGAGTAATATTGAGTGAACTGCTCTAAAATAGCAACTGTTTTAGAGAGAGGAAGAGTGGTCACCTGGCTGCCTGGATAGAGTGGGAGGAAAATTTTGTAGAGGAGCTAAGATTTCCATATACAAAAGAAGATGGTAAATAGGTAAGTCTGTAGTTATCAGAAGACCAGAAAAATAGCCAGGAACAAAGGATGAAAAGCAAACAGGGAAAAGAGAAACTATTTACCCATGGGAGATAAAATCTCCGGATTAGTGGCAAGCTTTGAATAGCTAGTCTAAAAAGTTGAGACCCTGGGCTGTGGTTAATGGAAAGTCATTGAAGTGAGGAGGACAGGACAATGATTTGAGAAACACCTTAAAATTCGGTAACTCCCAAAAGCTGT